GAATAAGTGGGGAAAGTATAAAAAATATCAAAAATGTTTTTTAATCGTCGTCATAAATTTCTTTGGCATGCTCTTTTTTTTAAGTTCGCGCGATTATATCTTTTGATTGAAAAGTGTTATTAACATACGTTTTCGCAGTTTTATAATTACCCATGCTCAAAAAATAATGTGGAATTTTTACCGCTCTGTTATTGGCCCTTTTTTAAATAAATTCCTGCCAACTAGGCAACAAAAGCAATTTCAGGTGAAATTTGAGAATTATTTTTACGAAAAATGTACATTAAGCAAAGAATCAAAACATAATTGATCGTAACTGCAACTACGCATATATTTAGCTAAACAAATGTGAAGTACGCAGCTTTAATGTGTTTTATGTAATTCATCGCCAAATTCGAAAAAAAAAAAACAGCGGAGCAGGTAAGCGTAGCACTCCTCCTCTTCGTCATTATTCACTTACTGTTCTTCGAAAAAACATTTTACAGCAAATCTAATTGCACATCTCTTCTTTCCACTCATCTGGCAACAACGTATAAAATTTCAAAAAGAATTTCAGTGGTTGAACAGCTATGCTTTGTTCAATCTCACGTGGAATCCCCCAATAGGTTTATGCTAAATAAAACCATTCTACAGATAATTTTGTCGCCATCTTAGCCTCAACTGGCACAGTGTCCGACATTTTTGCACCGTACTGTGCGTACTAGAAGTTCGCTGTATACATATTATGCGCTCACTCGCCACTATTCAATCCCCGGGTTATAGTATGGTTTGACGACAGATACGATACGGACTGGATACATTCTGCAGAAAGGTCGCTTTTGTATCCTTGCTCGGCCAGTCGACTTTTTCTTCTGCACTAAGAAGAATGATGATAACTGTAAAATAAATGCAAATGCTTCTGAATATTCAATGCTCACGTGTTCTAAAGCACGTGGTCTCGTACTCCATTCTAACACATGGCATCTTTCATGTGTGCCGTCACGGCTGGATAAGCGTCAGCTGAAAGGGCCAACTGCTTAATCCTTCACATCGTTTACGCTCTTGCATTTCGAGCTCCTGCCCTACGATTTCACTGACTAATGGCTAGTTTTGCTCCTCGTATAAACTCTTTTTTTTTTTTTTTGCAGTTCGCAGACGTTCTGTGTGAACAATACTGTGCTTCAGAAAATGAAGAAAAGAGCAGAATGGTTGAACCGAATATTTGAATTACGTAAGGTAATAAAGCGCGTTAAAAGTAATTGTTAAGCTTTTTTAGCAACTTTCATGCGTCTTACGAGGTGTGTAGCTGGTTTTGCTGGTCATTGTGCTATACTGTCATTATGCTAAATGTTTGCCACAATCATATCGCATTCAAAGTTGATGGGAATGGTGGACTTGGTAAATGTAATAATGCACGCCTCTACAATGACGATGTAAATATTGCCAGAATCTATTTTCATCGTCTTTTGATTTCCTTGTACCAGGTCCGAAGTTACCTTTACTGATGCTCTCTGTAAAAAAGAAGCGACTTTGTATTTTGACAAAATTGCACGTGGGACAAGCGCTTTTCACGGTGTTTTTTTTTTTTGCCCAAAGTGATCTTTTTCGGTATGCCTAAACTAGGCCCTCACAAAGTTATCTTAAAGTGAGACTAAAGAGTGGAACGATTTTTCGCGTGTTAGTAAAGTACGATTTCACAATACCGAAAACACCAATCTTACCGCAACACGATGCTTAGTAAGCGAGAAAACACACGGAAAGAAAATGCAGGAGGCGCCGCCATGTTGAGATTCCCGCCCCAAACACCACGACGTAGGAAATTTTAAAGGTGTCAGTTGGTTCTGCATAGCTTCCAATTGATTAAAACCAAGTACATTGTCATCTGTGGCTGTCATAGACTTAGCATACAAAGTTTCCGAAAATTTCATCCAGTCAATGCACGAAAATGACAAAACTACGTTTTGGAATTTCTGACATCGCGCGTGCAAATTTTGGCGCAAATTTTAAAAATCAAACTTCAATCTTGATTCCCTTCACTAATAATCAACTTATTATTATCGAAACGAACGCCATTAGAGTTCTCAGAGTGCAGTTTGTGAATCTAAACCAAGTGATCGTTCATCTTTAAGGTTCCTTTAACTCACATTGTATTTGTTGAGAGAGAAACCACGTTACGCATCACGTGTAACTGAAGCTCGAAATGGGTGTGTTAATCACGGACTTGTCAATAAAGTACGTATTCGCGAGAACTCCGGTGCGTTATTGTGGTACAATTTATGAACGACGCCAAACTTCACTCAGTTTCACTAACGAAACTGCAGATTCCACCGAAAACAAGCGAATCGAAATTAGGAAGATGTTACAGCAAATTGGAGTGCGAAGTTAAATGCGTGGGGATAAAATACAGCTTTTGACAAACATTCAACTGCAGCTGTTCTTAAATACGTTTTCGAATGTTTGGGAACAACTATACTGTGCCTAAAAATATTTCTTGGTAGTAAGGGACATTTGAAATGTGTGGCAAAAATTTAGGATATCGTTCTTAACTAAGAGCATTGTATAATTAGTTATGCTGAGGAGATTCAAAGTATGTCCATTAACTAAAGGCGACCGAAATGATTTCGCGTCACGGTAATTTAGCAGGTAAAGTTTTAATCTGCTGAAGTTGAGGCCGAGAGTTTGATTCTTGGCCACAATGGCCGCATTTATATGAGGCGAAATGCCGGAACACTCCTGTGCTCAGATATTGGGGTACGTTGAGCAACTCCACTGGTGCATTATGACAACTTGGCAGCCTGTGAACTATTCTGCACTTCACAGGTGGCTAAAATTAATCTGAAGCCCCCCCCCCCCCCCCTACGGCTTGGTTTATATTTATATCGTCATTTTGGCACGTAAAACCCCAAGCAATATATTAATATTAGGTGCCTCATTCAGCTGCTAGAAAATCTCGCTCTCTGGAAATTGGGTTGAGATTTTGCATGGTCGATAAGTGTTCTCTCTCTCTGTGTGTGCGTGTGTGTGTGTGTGTGCGTGTGTGTGCGTGTGTGTGCGTGTGTGTGCGTGTGTGTGTGCGTGTGTGTGCGTGTGTGTGCGTGTGTGTGCGTGCGTGTGTGTGTGTGTGTGTGTGTTTGTGTGTGTGTGTGTGTGTGTGTGTGTGTGTGTGTGTGTGTGTGTGTGTGTGTGTGTGTGTGTGTGTGTGTGTGTGTGTGTGTGTGTGTGTGTGTGTGTGGAGAGAGAGAGAGAGAGCCCATATATCGCGCTGCGGTGGCAGGAATTTGTGATAAAACACCGTGGAACACTTGTAGTCCCGCTTTAATATATACATTAAAACTCCCATGTGAACCCAATTTATCCTTGCAACGGATAGGAGGAAGCTCCAGTTGCCATATAACGTGGAGATCAGGTCAGAAGCTCCAGCAAATTAGCAGGAAAGATTTTACGACACAGAAATTTAAAAAAAGAAACTTTCAAAAACCTTGCTTTCCGGTTTTGCCGCTTTGGTACCTGAAGGCACATCTTGACAGTCAATAAGCGCGTTGCGTCCCTTACACGTACGTGAGCCCAGGAATGTATGCACACCCGACCTCCCCACACCTCCTAACATTCCTCAGGAGGATCCCGACACCTCCAACCTTTTCAACACCCCCCACCCCCTACCATCCCCAAAAAATATTCTGTAACAACGTATACCCCCTCGTCCACCTTACAGACAGGCACTTTTTCACACACTCTTGCTTTCTGGTGACACCCCCCACTCCCCGAAAAAAAGACCGACATTCTGGAAAACCACCTGTGCCAGAGGCAACTCAGCATATCCATGGACCACGGGGATGAAATAACCCCCTCGTCGGAGCTTGGCAACGTTGTACGTCAAAACGCTTGGTTCCATTTTGCTCTTTATGGAAAGTACAACATTTTCATAGAAAGAAAAACCGTCTCACTAATTGTTCACCGCCGTTTAACACTTCCTGGATGGGCTATCAAGAGAGATATTTTTCATGTTAGAGTCAGTGAAGAGTTAGGTGGAAACGAGTTTTTAAAAAAGTAAAACAGTTTCATGCGTCCTGTTTACTTTTTGTCATAGAGTTTCCCAAAACTAACTAGAGGGCACTCTGGCGCTGTGATCATTCAGCGACCATGGGAATGATTGGTAGCACACACATTTGCTAGTCTTCGTACTTTCGGGCAGCGAATCGTACTTGCGGCTTCGTTTATTGCTGTGTTTCAGTTTTGTTTTGAAAGAAAGAACGAACCCTTTTGAACTTAGTGACTTTATTTGAAATGGTAAGCCTAAAAGAATAAGGTTGTGAACCACAAACGGTGAACATTCGCTAATTTATCTTTTCGTGAAAAAAGATATCCAAGCCACACGAACACACACGGAGCCAGAAACAGGCCAGAAGTACGAAAATCAGACAAATGTGTGTACTACCCATCATTCCCATGCTCGCTAAAGCGCCGTGTGTTGCAGCTCCCATAGACGCTAGCGCCAGAGTTCCCTCTAGTGTATATTAAGAAACTCTATGCTTTTTATCAAGGTAATGACAGATATGCACTCAATGCTAGGACAGTGCAGGCCGAGTACTTCCCTGGCAGGTGGTAAGAAACCTCCCAGCGTTCTTTTTGAAGCATGCTTCAACTGCTTATCTTGAAGCATGCTTCATGGGCATTTCGCATCTAAAGAAATATTGCTGAAGTTTATTGAATGAATCAGTATGATACACGCGCAGTACATCCCAATAATTATTCAGAAAAACGCAATGATGTGTAAAAATAAACTGGGAGAAAATATAATACACAAATGCATTGATGTCTAAACATGCATGGTCTTTTAAGACACCTGGCCACAGTGAGCCGATATTTCTGCTGCTTTTATATAATCTCTAGCAGCAAAGTTGCGTGGTCAGAAGCGAACGTGTCAACGTCATTACATAGTGTAACTGCGCGGTTCCCTCGTCTCAAATGAAGGAGCTGCGCAGTTTCTTACGACGCTATGGAAACAGACATTCCATACAACTTACCAGTAGCACCACAGTGAAGTTTGCGAATCCTCTGAGGGTGATCAAACTTCCAGGTTGGCTGAGCAATGAGTCCCGGGGCTTGTGAAACTGCCTGCAGAGAAACTGGAAGGATGGCGAGGACTTTGACAAGCTCCGGGTTAAGGTCGCCTTTGAGAAGCACGTCGTGGCCTCTTCTGTTGGAGCTGCTTTGCACACTGCCACTCGATTACGGATGGTTGCCATGGCAACAGCTGCGACGAACGAACGCCGCTTGCACCGGGAATCACAGAGAAGTCGTTGGAATCACGCAAGCACTCCACTTAGCGCACCTCCACAAACGAAGCTCTGTGCGCAGTCACCAAAGTAAGAACACTATGATATATGTGTCACCACAAACAAGGCTATCGTTGTTCCCGCCAACACGTACTTCGGCTTCGTGGGAGTCACTAGGGTTAGTCGTTGTCAGGAAGGGAGGGTGAGGGTGCGCGAAGCTTCACTTGCGGACACTGTGTCTGTGCGGCTTCTCATCTGATTCACATGTGCGTGCAGGATAGTACCAGTGCCCGTTTGAACGACGTGAGTGAAGAGAGTATTCGCTCGCTGCCACAACGGTGCAGAACTGCTTCCGAGCTCGGAAAGAAGTGTGAGAGTGGTCGAAAGCTGTTTGCGTATAAAAAGTGGGCCCTGGCTAGCTATCAATGTCAGCGAGACGCGCCAGCCGCTTCGGTCCGCGTGTTGGCGCCGACTGTCCGTTCGCGGGTACGGCGCCCTCGTTGGGCTCATCTGCTCCGGCGGGAAACAATGACGGGTCGATTTTGTTGTTTATGCAAACCTAATTGCGTCAGTACCGACCGCGACGTTTTTCCTTTCCTTTTAGCCGAATGATCGGTTCGATGCAGCAGCCTTGACTTTGAATTGTGCTAAGAACTTCCTTGGCGCGCCTCATGGGTCGGCCTCTCCGGGGGAGAGTACGGTGCATGGCCGCGACTGGCCACGCGCCGTGGCTGCCAACGCCACGTTTCCTCGTCAGCGGCGCTAGTCTTCATGAAAGTCCGATGCGCTTCCCTCGCACCGCTGTCGTCCGCCAGTGCGCGTACGAGAGGAGGGGGGGGGGGGGGGGGGCGTCGAGAAAACATTGTCCTGTGCCCCCAAGCTGGCGACGCGTATAAGTTACGGAAACGAAAAGGCGCTTCAATGATTGCCACCATGCGTGCTTCGATCTACTTCATCTTTTGCCAGAACGACTTTCGAGCGAGAAAGTATCTCCGATCAAGCGCAAAAGACGTCACTTACTGGCGCAATATGCGGATTCAGTCGACGTATTCAGGGTCATTCTGAAGACCCATGAAACGTCTAGGTTCGCGTCAATAGAGACTGAGAAGGGCCTCGATCAGGACAACATCAACACTGACTCGACTCGGAAACGAGCAAGAGAAGTGAAACTTCGTGTTTCTCTTCGCAGGAGTTGTGGACAATTAATTCTCAGCTAAAAAAATTAAGCACTTCATTTGAAGATTTCTTAAAACAGTTCTTTACTCGAATCTCACACAACAACAACAACGTCTGGTGGCATCTCAACTGAAATGGGAACATCAAACTGGATTTATTTGTTTAACGTAATTTTTTTTAATTTGTTGTTGCATGTTAGTTCGGACGCCCTATATACAGTACAATAACAAAGCAGCAGAGCGAAAATCCTGACTCATATTCACGCTACTCAGTCACTGAGGAAGTAGATTAAAATACATGTAAGAGTTTTACTGGCTGTGTGATTATGGCATGTACTCGTGCAGAGCGCTAGGTATGGCTGCTGGCCTCGCCGGCAGCCACTTGGGTAGTGTTCAGAGAATAGGATGCACGCATAAGGGAAGCCAATGGGCGCTCCGAATCAATCCGAATCTCCAACCCACAATGTTATATTATACTCCCGTGAGTTGCCTTGAGAAGTCAGCATTTTCGGATAAGTTTAATTATTTAAAGAACCACAGTCGCGGCTTATCGTATGAAGTAAACTTATGAATATTTTAACGCGTCCGTCAAAGGTAAAGGAAATGTAATACACCCTGATGCTTACAATAAAATGATGATGATTGTGTAAGTCATTGGATTGCTGAGGTAGATGTACGAAGGGGCAGACACACTCTAAGCTAACATCACCAAAGCATGCGTGCCAGTCACGTCCCCGTAATACAAGCTAAGAAGACATCCCAATCACACGAGGCCCGTCTCGCACAAATCTGTGCTATTGCATCGTGCCAACCACGAGCTTCAGGACATGAAATTTTGTCTCTATAGGCCCATCAGCGAGGCTGAGTCGTCGCCCAACAGCAACGCGTGGTTGCCAATACTTCCGAGGAACACAACACCCGTCCACGGCGACCGATTATAAGAGATGCTGGGGGAAATACATGGTCAACAGAGTGTCGACACTAAAGAAAGCAGGGTCGACCTAAGTGCGCGTGAAATACATTGCGACGAAGAAGAGAAGTATATTCAGTTGAACCAAGGAGGAATCAAAAAAAATTGCTGGAGTGGATGCTCCCGCAATGCCTTGCCAGCAGACGTGAAGCCACCTTTTGCCACTGCCAAGATGGCGGAAAGATGCTCTTTTCTGATGATGCCCACTTAAAGATCAAGTGGCTTTGATATTTTATGTAAATGCTACGTTAGTTATATATTAAAAAAAATAGTTGTTCCCGGCGAAATAACATACAGAAACGAGTATGGATGACTGAATTTTCAAAGAACTTTGCCTCCAATTAGAGGCTCACTACAAAAAACTACTAACTTTAGGATGCACTTGGGGCACTATGTGGCCCGAAAGAGTTCCCACATTAAACTCGTTGGGCATGCGAGGGAAACGCTTCGTTTTTAATCGCTGAACAGTGATACTTTATCATGCCCCTAGTAAGATGGCCGCCACAACCACCATCTTGCCAGAGGAACGGTTTCAATTCTGCGCAATCATTTCCACTCCAACAATTTTTTAATCCTCCCTGAGTTGAACAGCCATGCTTATTGTCCTCGTCTTCTTTAGCGCCGACTCTCTCTCTCTCTTTTTCCTGCCGTCGGTCAGTGACATGCTGCCTACTTTTACCCGGCCGGACTGTGTTTTGCGGAACTCACGATTACATCAGAGAGTGGACAGCGCGAGCATTTTGATCATAGAATGTCCCGTACAACGTCACCAGCATTGGGCTCATGCTTGCAGACACAGAGCATGCATTCAAGCATGACTAGAGCTTAAGCAAGTCTATAGCGTACCGCTCAGTGCCACCGTTACCGCGCGAAATTAGTCGCGCCTGCAGCGTTACCGCTATAAGATAAAGCACTTTACTGTGTTTGTTGGTTCTGTTCGTGTTTTTATGTGTATTAAAAAACCAACATGAGAACGTAGGTATTTGAGCCGATCAACATGATAAAACTATTGAAAAAACACATCAATACAAAAAAACTAGAACATATAGAAGAATAACAAAAATACCTCTCATCTAACAGGCAATTTTCTTGTTGTTGTTGTTGTTGTTGTTGTTGCTGCTGTTGTTGTTGTTGTTGTTGTTGTTGTTGTTGTTGTTGTTGTTGTTGTTGTTGTTGTTGTTGTTGTTGTTGTTGTTGTTGTTGTTGTTGTTGTTGTTGTTGTTGTTGTTGTTGTTGTTGTTGTTGTTGTTGTTGTTGTTGTTGTTGTTGTTGTTGAATCATTCTCTGTGGCTCTTGTTTTGCATATGTTCCTGGTTTTCTACTGCTAAAACAAAACGGTTTCCTTTAATCTTGTTACTTATTAGGTTTTCTCACTGAACGGCCACACTGAAAGTTAAAAAGCAACTATATGTTCTGCAGAGCCCTTTAGACAAGGTTTTGGCTACTGAGCACAGATGCCATAGCCACCAGGAGGAAAAGTAGCGGAAAAGCAGCCTTCCCGTTGCTGTCTATATGTATTAATCAAGATGCTTTAGAATTATTTTGGTTATTGGCATACCCTTGCCAGTACCGTGTACCGAACCACCAGCCCTCCTTATGAACGTTTCGTGAGTGATTACAACGGAAGAGAAGACATGGGACAACGAAAAGAATGAAGACGAGCGCTGTCTGGTGTCTTGCCTTCCGCTGTAATCACTCGTGAAATGGAATACTAACTTTAGCCTGTACTCACAACTTGCTTATGAACATGCTGGCGATTATGTGCCTCCGCCTGGTGCAACATCATCCTTATCACCACACGGCAGTACAAGTATGAGTGTTCGACTTGTGACCATGGCCACTTTTCCAAGAAGGTGTATAATACCTAAAGAAATTGTCAAACTCGACATACAGGCCCCAATTCTTCCTTTACGCGCGTGTGTGTGTGTGTGTGTGTGTGTGTGTGTGTGTGTGTGTGTGTGTGTGTGTGTGTGTGTGTGTGTGTGTGTGTGTGCGCGTGCGTGTGCGTGTGCGTGTGCGTGTGTGTGTGTGTGTGTGTGTGTGTGTGTGTGTGTGTGTGTGTGTGTGTGTGTGTGTGTGTGTGTGTGTGTGTGTGTGTGTGTGTGTGTGTGTGTGTGTGTGTGAGAGAGAGAGAAAGAAACAGCACAATTAACGTGCATTTATTGGGAAAAAAAGCTTGTCTGTATACTCTTGCTTAGTATGAACGTCTACCTTCACATAAACGAACGCCAGTTAAAAGTGCGGTTCTTATTTGCTTGCAACGAGGGGACGGTGTATTAACGCACCGACAGCTAAAATGTGAGCAGTACGGGTGCATCTATGTGCATTTCCTATTCTTAGCTACAGCAGCATACTGTATACTTCTATAATTTTGAAGCAGCTGGCCATTTTATTAGTGATTGTCATGTACATTTTCATAAATAGGCGCCGGTTAAAATTTCGCTCCTTATCTGCTTGCAACACGAGGATGGTGCACTAACATTGCGACGGGTAGAATGTATGTCACACATGGACATCTCTGTGCATTTTCTATTCTTAGCTACAACAGCATACTGTCACTGACCATTCGATCAGAGACTTACACAGAATTTCACATACACTTCTCTTCTGCGCTGAGCGACAATATAGTTATCAACATTGTAGACATGCTGTTCATATACTGTGCATATTCTTGTGCAAGTAAATCGTCATATACAGTTGCATTTTCTCTAAATGTCAGTGAAAGAAGCCAGACAGCCGATAGGTACGCAGCACAATTTGTTTTATTGGCTTTCGTGAGTCAAATCGTCACCGACCCGTACGCCGAAGCAGAATTTCCCACCGCAGGCCCTGCTGCAGCATTCTTGCTGGTGTTCATCGCAACGCAGGTCCCGACATGTCACGTTGCTGGGTGGATCAGTGCAGCCGCCTTCGGGGATCAGGAACAATGGGCACAGGTTACGCCGCGGCACATCAGTTCCTGAGGATAATAAAGCCATCGTTGCCATCAAAATCATCATGTCATCGTGCCTAGCATATCTGTGTAAAAACAACTTAGGTACAGGGAAAAAAGGCAATGCTCATAAAATGCGGCATGCTGCTATTGCTTTTTCCGGCTCGTTTATAGCAAGAGCCAGATCATAAGGAAGATACAATATGCCATGGTCAGATCACCTTGCGCGGATAGTTTCTGCTGTGGACCTTTGGCACTAAACCTCCACAGTCCATTTCTCGCCTGTTACTGTGGATATTAGGGTTAATATTGTCATCAACTCTGAACAAAATTGGTGTCGAAGACAATGTGACACATTATAATTTTACTTCGTCTGGGTGGAACCGCGGCATTCCACGCATCTGATGTCTTTGTGGTCACTTTGGTTCTTCAGAGCAGTGTTAACGCTAACGAAATACGTTTCATAAAAATGCATACTGGTTATACATGCGCTGGGCAAAAAAATACACATTGGGAATAGCACTGGTGACCATTCACACAGACACACTGGTACACAGTATGCTTGCGTCCTCGTCTCGTGTGCTGTTTGCACGTATCTACAATTCATTTCGAGGTGACGTAAAACCAACCAACATTGCACCCATAATATTTTTGCGTCGTTCCATGTCATCTGTAGGTCGCGTTTTTGCGTGACTTGCCCGTCTTCTCCAAACCACTCTGATCACCAGTGCTCTTTATATATATCAAAGGGTGCTCGCGAAAATGCAAAGCTGTTATTGGCCGTAAGGACAAAAATGAAATCTTTGGCTGCGGCATCTTACATCTGTTACGCAGCTAACACTTATATGTGAAATAGGTTGTTAGAATAATATGACATCTGTGCTGCTTCGGAGCTTATACAATTCTCCACAACTATTTGCCTTATAACCGGCTTATTCGCCATTCTTATTTGTTGGTACAAATAGACCGTTTCTCTGTGTTACGAAAACATTGACGGATTACGAGTCGCTGAGTGCGAATCATATTGCGAACGGCAACGCCGCTATTATAAGGGTTCGAGGAAAAAGAAAGTTAATCTTATACTTACTAATCGTAGACGACTTCGCCATGTCTGAAATCACCACAAGCGCGACAGCAGCGATTATGCAGTGCGCCTTCATTGTGTTCGTTGTGTGCGGCTGGGTCAATATTATCCACTTAAGCTTTCTACCACTGCGTGCACTTTGCAAACGAAATGTGTATTACTGCGAGCACCGCACGCTTTTTTCAGCCAGGTATGGGAAGTAGCAGCTCATATATACGTGCCATGCTGAAATGGTGGGCGAGAGCAGTGCGCGCACGAGTACTCATTTGATAGGCCAATCTGCAGATAGCGAAACCGAGGATGGTTGGCACACGAGACACACATGTGCTGCTGTCACACCATGGAGACACGCGAAAAGTGGAAGAGAAGCAGATTTTTTTTTCGTGCAGTAGTAAAAACCCCGGTGACCCAGCTTGCGCATCTTGTTTTTATCTCGGTGCAACGCCCGGTTTACAGCCGCTCGCTGCAACACGTGTTGCACAGCACGTGTATCGAGTGACATGTTGCTATATATCATAGAGAAACATACTTGCATAAGGAACGGACACTCCCGTAGAGCCCTGCGGCCGAGCGGCGGCACTGCTATCAGCGCCACAATCGGCTGGTCAGACACGATAATGTCTTCAGCATAAATACAAGATCAAGATTTTTTTTTCGATGTTGGGATTTGGACCCGTACCCTCATGCTCCGAAAGTGAGTATCTTTACTACTAGGCTACACACCCATGCTTCCGCCAAGGGAATAACACATGTAGAGTACATCTAAACACATAAATCTGTACCCTACACTCTTAAATAAAAGGTGGTAGTACTTGCTAACTTTGGGGTAGTAATGGTTTGTCACATTTGTTACAACCCTGGTAGTAAGCGCAGTTACTAACGGCGAGGGTGGCAACATTTGCTACCTCTGCTGTTACTACCAGCATTTAGTGCCTGTTACTACTCTAGCCATTACCACGCATGGGTAGTAACTTTTAAAGGTTTCAAGAAAAAAGTAGTCAACAATACTACTTTGTTTATTCATTTTGACATATCATTTCTTTAGTGCTAATGTTGGTCAATCAATGTCTCAATGCTAGACAGCTCGGTAAGGAAGCGTAGTGTGCCATGACCGCCAAGTGCCTAGACCAAACAAATTCATTAAATTTTTTTTACGTATACATGTAGTAAGAAGTAAGCGTGGGGTATATATAGCCCCTACTTTACAGGGGCATGTCTGGCACAGGAAAGAACTTGTGTTTCAGGATGAATTATAACTAATTTAAACCTATAGCACTACATTATACTACCTGGTTACGTGTGTTTGCTGACGTAGCACAAGACTTTTAATTAGCATTACTTATAAAAAATATATGCTATATTTATTTATTATAAAAGGGCCACAAAAAGGCAGTATGTATTGTGGCCGGAACAAGATACTGAACTCATTCTCAGTGCATTTGAATGCTTCACACGGCTAATATATCAACGTTTAAAAGGTAATAATCATTTTTGGAGTTTGACGCGCCAAAACAATGATAATATTTAGAGACACGCCGCAGTAGAATAACTGTGACTGTCCTCGGGCTAATTGTTACCGTCTGGTTATTTTGATCTGCCGGTCTTGATAATAGTAATGTAGTTTACTAAATTTGTTGTAACTCTCTTTTACGACGCGTGTAGCACTTGCATATCGCTCGTTAACTTGTACTTCTCTGTTCGACAATATCAGAATGACGTAATTCGATTGCGTAATTGCGATGACGCAATATCGATTGCGTAATTCAAAACAAAAAGTATTTTCTTGATCTTATGTAAACCTTCTGCGTCATTTTTTCGTTTAATGATAATACGTCGAGACGATTCCTCTCATAAATTATCAGAATCGCATTCACACTCTATTTTGGATTAAATATTCAAAAGCCAGGTAGCAAAAAGGTAGTTACGCGGAAAGAAAGGTAGTAATGGCTGCAGTTACCACCTCTTTCATTGCAGTTACTAACTGTTTACTAACGTAGGTAGTAAACAAATCGCAAAAAGTTTGTAACGGTTGCAGGTAGTAACTGTTTACTAACGTAGGTAGTAAACAGGTAGCAAAAGGGTAGCAACGGTCGAAGAAAGGTAGTAAGCGCTGCAGTTACTACCTATTTGCTTGCAGTTGCTACCTTTTTACTAACTTTTTTAAGAGTGTACGTGCAAAATAAATGCAGAAAGACAACACTTTCTAGCCATACTTTACTGATTTTTGTGGTAAAGCATTAAACGTCCTCAGTGGGGCACGATGTAGAGCCGATATGAAGAATCGCAAAAATCAAAAAATTTTCTTCGTTCAAAAAGTTGACGCCAAACTTGGGTTTCTATTGATCTCTTGAGGCGGCTATTGCATGTCTTGACAAAGGAGTTAAAGCCAGCAGAGGTACGCCGACTAGCGGTTAGTCAAACCCCTTCTTCCTCAGCCACAAAAAGGCTCGAGTGGTCACTTTTTATATAGTATATATTTTATGGCTATACAACGGACCGAAAAAGAAAAAAAGCATAACATAGGCACCTTCGTTAGGCGGACGTTACATGTTTTGCAGTGACGCTGTACATGGCTAAACTGAAATGCGTCAGTCTTGTTGTAGAATGTGCCACTGCAGATGGGCAAGCACCGTTACTCACACTGCACTTAACAATATTATGTGGGGGTTTGCGTCCCTATACCACCGTTACTTGCCACTGGTCCACCGAAAATTCAGGAGGCCTCCGCGGGCGAAAACGTGTGTGCCGAAAAAATTTACGAAATCTGGCTACTCCCCACTGGTTCACTAAATATGCAGAAGGAAACACACAGGTGGAAAGAAAACATAAGATATTAAAAAAGCCTAATCAATAAGTAAAGAACCCTTTAGTGAGCTGTCTGATTAGCCAAATAATTAACACCGGGACACAACATTTATTCTTCACTGGTTAGCCATATGTATGGAGTACTCGGGCAACGATTTTCTCACTTTCTTACTTTCTTTGTTTCTTTTACGAAAAATTCTAGATTTCTCATTGTTGAATCGATAATCTGGGTAGGAAGTGAACCAGAAAGGAGACATCTGCGTGCTACTTGCGGCGTTGCCTGCCTGTGACAGAATGCATCTTCAGGTGAGTACATACATGAATCGCAGCCGTAAATATAAAAATTAACACAATTTTTAACCAGTGGTAATAGCCAGTCGAGTCAAATGGGTGAATTCAAGCCCTTCCTATGAATAGTCCAAAGCCACTGTGAAATTTTGGAAAAGCTGCCGCCTATAGTTACTGCAGAGCAATCCAATCTGGCGGATTCAGCTGGCGAAACCGAAACCGACCCACCAAACAGCGCATCTACCATTCCCTTCGACAACACCCTCAATGACGACACTGTTTCCCCTCTTATTGGGGGAGAATAGTAAGCGAGCATCGATAAGTGGCCTCGAAGCGAACTGTATAAATTGACGGCTGATAACAGCGAAGGAAACAGTAGTGGAGAAAACTGCGGGCAATGAAATCGTATTGTCCAAAAAAAAATGAAATGAAGTGAAAAAAAAAATGAAACCATCTCCTTCGCCACGGGGAATCGGTTAGCCTCCAGATACAACAAGCGATCAAATGAACTCATTGTATATTTTATTACGGAAACGTAGCGTGTTTAGCGCTGAATTGACATAAAACGAAGCGAAATCGCGTTAATTATGGACAAAGCCCGAGTGGGGAAGAGCAAAAAAAAAAAAGCAAAACGAAGGGAAGGCAACGGAGCCCAGTGAGCTAGACTTCGCGAGCGCGCACAAAGAGCCCGTCGTGAGTGGAAGCTCTGCGAACGCGGGCGCTGACGTGGCACCATCAGAGCAGAAATCACCGCGTGCAGCCTCGTCGGCCAGCAATCTTTGTTGATTCATTATGGCGTCGACTATTTTAGTTTTCGCCACATTCACAATGCTAGACGTAAGTGTCGATGCAGAGAGCATCATGGGCATCGAAGTCAAGCCATGGTTTGAAGAATGCCCAACAAGTGAGTATATGTACACGGCGAGCCTAATATCAGATTTGCTGGTTGTATTTTTCGTTCGTTTTTTTTAGAAGGCTATTCTGTCAACCACGCCTCTAAAGCCACCGCATCATTTAAATCGGTGCTCAAGATATGATTATTGTAAAGTTCCGCATATTTCTACCTGATTTCGGTGGACTTGGTGAATGAAAGAAATGGGACCCTTCCCCCCCCCCCCCCCCCCCCCCCCCACTATATAGAGACGCAAAAAGTACTCGTTCGCGAAAAAAATGCAGCGTTTAATAAGAACAATGGATTCGACAGAAGATTGCGATGAAGAAAAAGGAACGGCCATAAAGTGGTAATAGATGCAAATAACCGTTGCGACGGTAATAATGCTTTACCGCACCTCTGTGCCGCCGTCTTGCAACCATCTCGAAGGGCTTGGAGCTATCGATAACGCGTGTATCTCAGATAATACCTTAAATATACTTTAGATATCTTGTATTGGCATCACCATATACCTTCAGAAGGTGAAGTATCAGTATTCGTAGCCCCGCCGCTGTGGTCTAGTGGCTAAGGTACTCGGCTGCTGACCCGCACGTCGCGGGTTCGAATCCCGGCTGCGGCGGCTGCATTTCCGATGGAGGCGGAAATGTCGTAGGCCCGTGTGCTCAGATTTGGGTGCACGTTAAAGAACCCGAGGTGGTCAAAATTTCCGGAGTCCTCCACTACGGCGTCTCTCATAATCATATGGTGGTTTTGGGACGCTAAAAAAAAAATCAGTATTCGTATTTCTCATTTTTTCGGGGGGAATGGGGGGGGGGGGAGAGACTTCACTGAAATGGTCATTTTTTGCTCTGTACGCCATGGGCACGAGAAAATGTTGGGGGATCCTTAAGCTTCGCCTTTAATAGTTGAACGCCATAGCCATATCCTGTCATATAGCGCGTATACGCGAACCACTTAATGCATACGTTTTATTGTATCGTGTTACTCGATAAATTTAAATTGCGTATTACTACAATGTTATCGACAAAGTTGAAAGTTCGATTGTGTCCATGAAGCTTCCTCGTATGGCTGCATTCTATGCAATGGGTAGCATGCTTTAAACCACAAGTAATTATGCGCGTGAAATCGTTTAGAATTTGCTATGCACCCACTCGGTGGTCGTAGGGGAATACGCGCTGTAACGAGTGTGCCTTTTGCGATGTGTGGCTGGCTTTACACCGCGAAGTCATGTTGGTAATAACGTGTTGTGATGCCCGATGACAATGCACGCTTGTATCATGCAATATTCCTGGAATATTACATGTTGTGTTGTGGAGCTTGCATACAGTGGGCCTGGGCCTGTAAAGCAGGAACGTTATTTTTGCTGCATTTCTGAGCAGAAATAGTTATTTTCACTGTCTTTCCAAACAGGCGCGTGGTTGTGTGTGACAGCTGCTTGCCTCGCAAACGGCGTGGGCTCGATACTCACTCAGATTGGGAAATCTCTATTTATTTTATGTGCACCTTTCTCAATTTTTTGGTCACGCACAAGATGATTTTTCGCTCACAACCAACGACGCCGAGTCCGGAATTTTCGCAAAACGAGCTTTTTACACTATCGCGTTAATATTTCGGGGGGGGGGGGCGGTCGATGGGCCACTTCTCGGCTTCGTCACTGATTTCTATACATCGTATGTAGTAATATCGTGTAATATAAGGTAGAAGATACGCCTCTGGCACAAGTGACTCATGCTATGCAGTTATTTGGGGCAGTTCAACTTCATTGCAGAATATCACATACCGGTACAATGTTTCCTAATCACCACACACACACCAATAACAGAAGCAAATGCGGATGTGCAGTAACAATGGCAATTACTGATTTTCTTTATTATTAGTTTCCTATTTGCACTTGTTATGTGGAATATTGAAAAACACAAAAAAAAATCTAACAAGCCAGTGTTCAGAACATGCCTTTTGCTTTATTTGTACTTCAAAGAATACGTTTTGAATGCGTGTCTTGAATAAAGTGATCAGACATCCAGATTTTGGTGGAACATCTGCCGTTTTTGCTGCTGGTGTCTCTCTGTCCCGTCAACCTGCTTGCGGCACGCGGTTTTGTCCTACTTTAGACCGAAAGCCAGCTCGCAGTCGTTTCAATCCCCCCTCCAAACTTTATCGCGTTTTACTTTAGTCCTCTTCTCCTCCCTTATTTTCATCTTCTCTCTTTTGCCTTTCCTATACCTTCTCTCCTCTTTGCCGAACAGAGTTTTCACTGAATGGGTACCTGCGACACAGATTAATTGTGTCGTTTTCATCACCTCTTCTGGAACTGCGCAATTGACCGACATCGTTGTGCAAGTGGCGGCACCGAAAACAAACCTGTTATAACTCCTCATTATACTAGACTTCACTCCCTCCCACTTTAGGCTCCAACATCCTTTCCTAGCGCTCTCCATCACTCTTCTTCGCTTCGCCCTCTCCTCTAAGTTTTCGCTTTCACTCGCACGTAATGTACTCGTTAGTTGTCTGAACGGGGAGACCCGAACTTCCGTCGTTGCCCGCATCCCGAAACACTCCATCACATTATCTTCGAGTGTGAGGATTATTCGGATGCGTGCAGATCACTCTTGGGTGCTTACAGCAAACTGGAACTTTCCACCTCCACTGTTGATGTGGTTCTCTTTCCCCATGCGCACGCATGCCAGGTCAAGCGCACGCATACTGCTTTCATCACCTTCTTCGAGACCTCTGCGCTCTTTGAACGCTTGTGACATGAAGGAACCCCTCGAGGTCTACGCGACTCCTATTGGCGAGTGCTACGGACCTCAATTTTTTCCGTGACAAGGTTACACCCTTCGGCGAGTGATTTACGCGCTCTCTACAACGCGCCAATGCGGCCCTTATTGCGGCGACGATACTTCTCCGGCTTTCTTGGGGGCTTTTATATAGACCCATTCCATGTTTGTAGACCGATGTCGACATTATGGGTAAAATTATAGCGACGTCCGCACGTAACTTCCGCCATAAGCGCTGAGGGCTGCGATGTGCGCCAACAAAACGGCGTTGCGAGACGCCATAAGCGTTGTGAAAGCCATAAGCGCTGAGGGCTGCCATGTGCGCCAGCAAACAGAACTAAGTTGTAAGACGTGACTCACATCCAACCGCGACGCAGTTCGTTGGCATACCATTGCTTTTTTTTTTTCTCGTTGCTTGACTGGGAACACCACATGCAACATTGAAAACCCAACAGAAACTGCGCTAGGCAGAGCGTCTTTTGCCTACCAAGACAGCGCCACCGCATTTTCATGACGTAAGTCCGGTGGAATTTTTCTATAGTCGGCTGCGCGTGGGAGCTTATCAGTCCGTTGCGGGAAGCAGATCGAATGACCCTCACCTTTCTTTTTCCTCTTCTCCAATCTTATCCTTCCTAAATATTTTATTCCCCATACCCCATTCATGTGCCGACCTGGTGAGGTGTCCTCGTAATGCGAGACAGTTACGGGTCGACACTTTCCTTTTCTTCTGTTAGAACCACACACAAAGATATATATATATATATATATATATATATATATATATATATATATACGATGAAGAATAAGCTCGTTCCAGACCTAACATTCTTCAAATAAACTTTTAAATTGAAAAAACAGACTGCTTGCGCTGCAGAGCCGTTTACTGACCACCCTTTATATATAGGCACTCGATCTTAACCTCCAAGGTTTACTGCCGGTGGGAGATTTCTCCTGTGCGTTGTTGAACAACAATACTTCGCAGCGTGCGCGTTAACTAAGAGTGGAGTGCGAGTCTTTGTGTCCAATCGGCATCTTCAGTCTCTCATTGTCCATTAGCAGCGATTGGCATGTTACAGTAGGAAACATTGGTCCATCACTGCATGCTCTGTGCCTTCACAGGTTTCTTTCCTGCGCAACACCGCGATGAGTGCCAGCGACAACACCGCCTCCAGTGTAGGCGCTAGCGCCCGCTGTTTCACATTTACACATAGTTATCTTTAACGGGAGAAGGTGTACTTTTTTATGTTGGTCTCGGTAGCTTTGAAGTAGAGTTGAATTTAATGGTGGAACTTTATTCAGTTGCCTGCCGGAGCATTTGACAGTACAAATAGCTCAGGTAGTGACAGGCTGTCCATCTTTAGGGGTGGGTTCACCTGTTACACTTCTGACACCAGTTTCTAGACTACACTTTCAATAAGGACACAACCAGACGAGATGCTAGCAAGCAAGAGACTGTTTATTGATTGCTATATATCGCGTGGCGCACACCCTCTCTCAAGGTCACCAGCCAAGGGGAGGTCACCCAGCTTCATTTACCGGTTGCCAGCCTGGTACAGTCATGATGATGGCGCTGATGACGATGAAGAATAAGTGCGTTCTAGACCACACATTCTCTTTCTGCCGTCACGGCACAGCATATGCGAATGACAATGACGCTGATGACTATGGAAAATAAGAGCGTTTCTGCACTGAATTTCTTCATTGAAGTATCCCATGGAAGACTGCAGTCTTTAAAACTGCTATGACAAATAACGACGCGAACTTGGCTTGCATAGTTGGTTTAAGCACTTTGGCGGACCCAGGTTTTTACCAGCTTCTGAGGGTGATGCTCATAGGTAAAAATGTGGCGAAGACGTTCTAAGGAAGCAATGAAGAAACATTCAAAGTTCAAGAGAGAGAGATAAAGCTTTCTTAACGTTAAGGCTATGGGGACCCGAGGTTCACACTGGTACTGTGATTGCCGCATTATTTATACTTATCATGAACGCCAGGTTTCCAGTGCTGTATACTTCATAACTTCTATACAAGTTCAGCAGATGAAAGCATTAACGAGCACCCTAATCATCAGAGACCTGGGTGTGAGTAAGGCAGGTTTCAGCAGTCTTCAAGGTGTGTCAATACACAATCCTGACTACACAACAATTAAATCAGTCAGTCACGTTTCCAGTGGCATCCACCTTCAAGACGATGATATTGTTAGCCTTCATGTACCATTGACGCATACACAGCGCTGTGAAGTGAAATATTTGAAGTAATAACAACTTTCAATGAGTAAGCTTGTGTCAAAGCATTCGCTGCAATAGATTCCCTGCTACTTTTATTTTGTGGCATAACGTTTTTCCAGCTTTTTACGCATTTTTTCTTTATTTATCTTCTCATTTGTTATTCTTCCCATGATATTTCGCATGCATGTACTTTGCGCTCTCGCAGTGGACCACCGCGTAGAAAGATGTCGGGAGAAACTTTTGTCCACCCCCGAACTTGAAGATGTCACTCTGGACACCGACAGGGTAATCAGCAAACCTTCCTATTATGATTTCCTGTTTCCCTCTTGGAAAAGAAATATTCACTGATATCAGAGCGTAAAATTAGCGATTTTTGTTCACGGCAGGGTCATCAAGCCGAAGACTACGAGGATTGCATGCTGATGAAGCTGGGTCTGACCGTGCGCGAAGCCGTGGTTTGGTGTGAACACAAGGGGTCAGTGGTGCGTATAAGCTCGCAATATTCCTACTTCTGACAATATTGCCACTTGAGCGGAAGGAGATGCCTGTATTACAAGCTTGGCACAAGGCGGCGATTATATTTAAGGGTCCACGAAACGAATAGCCCTGACTTCCGTATGGGGCAATTTGAAGAGTGCACAAAGTACATACTTCCATCTACTTAGCTGTGCAAAACGGAGCCACGTTAATCTGCGGGATATTCCCTGATTTACTGACATGTGAGCTTATAACGTCTACATAGTTCAGTTACTTTCTCTTTTTCTATCACAATCGGGTTTTGCGAAAGATTCCCATGGAGTGGTCGTGGAGATCGTTGCTATGGTTTATGCAATGGTTCAAGTTTTGAAAGACAGCTGGCAACTGAAAGTTGCTTATCATAGAATCATGAACAAAAGCATAATGCCCACTACGTCACGGTATGTAGTGAACAGAAGGAAAAGTAGTGCTGTAAAAAATGAAATGAAAAGGAAGAAATGAATCTGCTGCTTTTTTTCTTGCTAAAACGGAAAAACTTATATTTACGTAACCGTAATATCCTCACGTTTACATAATACCACAGTTGAAAGTATAACATAAAAAGTGCCTATCTATTATTCACTATTTGGCATCGAGCAGTGGAAACGTGTGCGTGTTTGGGCCTTTTTTGTTACTGTTGTGCTTGTAGGATAGTGCCTTTGTTACGTACGCGTTTTTGGTGTGCGCGATAAGCAGTTTTTTTTTTTCAACGAAGTCGCGCACAAATAGAATACGTGACAACTGATTCAAACTTAATGTTCATTATTATGGCACATTACGAAGCGTTACTTGTCAAAAAAAAAGCAAGCAGTGCAGTAGAAACAAATGTGTTGTTTCTTTCACCCACACAGAGCTATCCACTGAGCGCGGATGCAGCAGCTAAAATATGGCGCTCTCATTCGCAAATCGTGCTCCAGTACACATTAGTTTAAATGTCACATCCAAATTTCATAAATTAAATTTATTGCATATTATCGCTCCAATTTTTTGTTGTAGTTGTTGTTGGTAGCATGAAGTTTTCATTCTGGAATGTGCGAAAGTTATTAGAAAGAAATAACATTCGTAGTTACAAAGAGTTACTATTCGCTTGAAGACTGAATAAAATGTTCGATTTATTCTGTTATGTAGATTCAAATATATCTTCAAACTTCTGATTTTTTCTGTTGTTTTTGTTAATTGTATGCATGCCTCACATGACTGTAACCCAAAGGCGAGAAAAATGGCACTCTGCTACGAGTATCTACTAAGGCTGAATGCAGTAAGTGAACTTATTTTTCCTGATCATTTTTTTCCTGATCAGAGAGTAATAGCTGAGCGGCTCAGCGGGTCCATCGGAGCAGCGGAGATGCCAGCTGCGCGTGCGCGGCACGCCGGGGCAGCCAGCGTCTTTGCGGAGCGAGTCGCTCACCCGCTCATTTTGTCTCCTCAGCGAAGCGTGCAAGCGTGCAAAAAATGGCAGCCTCCAACACAAGCGGCGGCGGCATGTCTTCGGCGGCACCTCCAAGCGCTGCGGAGGCTCAGCTGCTGACGTAATAAAAAATGCCTTTCGTAATATTCTTTTCGGAGTCACTTCAATTTCATTCGTCAGGTGACGCAGCAAAGACTCTGCTCGATCGAGAGTAACTTCAACGTTGTTCAACAGATGGCGCAGCAATGCGATCCGCTGAAACGAGAGAGGCGACGCTCAGCTGTTACTCTTTTTTTTTTTTTTGTCTTGCGCTTCATTGCCCTCTCCCCTCATCAGCTGGATCTGCTGGCCCGCTGAGCCGCTTAGCTATTACTCGCTAGTTATGCCGATGTCGGGAGAAATCGTCCCAGGAACGTCGGCTTCAAGAGCACCGTTGACATTGTCCACCACAGTTGGTGATCGTGCAGACGCCACTGCAACAATATCAGTTTGCGCGTATCTCAGTGACTGGGCTAACAAAGCATATTTTCGATGTTCTTAATTGTAATCGGGGCGTAGTTCACTGAATGAATTGAACGTACTGAATGAATTGAAAAACTATTTGAAACTGAATATTAAGCATGATGACCGGATTATAATGGCAGGTGATTATAATTTGCCTAATGTACATTGAAAAAAATTTGCCCTGAAGCAGTGCGACCCTTCGGGTGAAGCTATGCTTGATATATGCTACATTTTTGACCTCCTTCAGCTAGTTGAAGGCTACACAAGAATTCAAGAAACCACTCAGTCAACCCTAGACCTTTTCTTCGTTAACCAGGCAATTACACCTAAAGCAACGACTGAGATATATCCGGGAATTTCCGATCATCATGCAGTGATATTTATATTTACTCTGAGTGACACAGTGTTCGGTAAGACATTGCCCTGTTTATCTTTCCCTAATTTCGATCGTGCAGATGATACTGCGATTATAGATCTCCTTTCATTCAACTTTGATAACTTTGCGAATAATGAAACTAATATACATAATTTATGGAACTGGTTTAAGGACATTGTCAAAGAATGCATTGAATCATTTGTGCCTCTGGTAATTTAAAAATCGAAGCAAAAAAATCCGTGAATTTCTCGGATAACACTGAGGTTAAGGAGGCAAATAAAGCGTCTAAAGAAGAAACGAAGTCTGAACGTAGCGTATTCAGAACAAATAGCTAAGCTTTCAGTAAAACTGAAAAATCAAATTCAAACAGATAAGCAGCATTATTTTAGGGAATCCTTGCCGCATTACTTGACCTCGTGTCCCGAGAAATTTTGGAGGAGCATTTCGCCCGCTTCGAAAGAGTGTGACGTTTTTAATGTCGATGGTATTCTTACGCACGATATTGCTCGAATTGCGAATGCTTTCAACGATCACTTCAAATCGGTTTTTTCTTGTGACAACTCTGTATTACCGATCTTTGAAACTGTTTCGCCGCGAATGCCCGATATTGTTGTCAGTGAACAGGGCATATTGAACATGCTTGTGAACCTTAATATCAGAAAGTCCTCTGGACCGGACAATATCCCTAACGCGTTCTTAAAGAGATACGCTGAATGGATGTCGAAATACCTCCATGTTCTTTTTACAAAATCGCTGCGTAAGGGCCAGGTTCCAGACGACTGGAAAACAGCTAGAGTCAAGCCTATCCATAAATCGGGCAACAAGCAGAGTGTCAAAAATTATCGCCCCATCTCGCTAACTTCAACCGTTTGTAAACTTTTGGAACACATTATACACAATAGTATTTCATGTTTTCTGGACGAACATAGTATCTTAAACCAACATCAGCATGGATTCAGGAAGGGATTTTCAACAACGACACAATTGGTATCAACAATACACGACTTCGCTACTTCGATTATTAATGGAAAACAAACAGATGCAATTTTTATGGATTTTTCAGAAGCTTTTGACAAGGTTTCGCACAATAAATTAGTATACAAATTAGAAAAAATTCTCGGGAACGATCAACTTATTAAATGGATATCGGCCTACTTGAAAAACAGAGAACAGTTTGTAGATTTTAACAATCATTCCTCTCACAGGGTTTCCGTTGACTCTGGCGTCCCCGAAGGGTCGGTTCTGGGTCCCCTTCTATTTATTTTATATATTAACGACATAGTAAACGGTATACCTGTAAGTATAAGGCTCTACGCGTTTTGTTAAACGAGTCGTTTAACAGGGTTGTTTCCTGGTGCGAGGCTTGGCAAATGTCCATCAATTTTGAAAAGACAGTATACATGTCCATTTCTCATAGGAAAAACAAATTAAATTTTCAATACTTTACAAACAATGCCATTCTTTCCGAGGTTCAATCCTACAAGTATCTTGGGTTATAGATAACAAATGATCTTAACTGGACAAAACACATTGACATAGTAACTTCCAAGGCTAATCAGAAACTGTTCTTTTTACGAAGGACTTTGAAACTCTCCCCTCCATCTGTCCGTGTTCTTGCTTATAAATCGATAGTCCTCCCCATACTTGATTATGCTGCAGTGATCTGGGATCCATTTACTCAAACTAACATTCATAAAGTCGAAAAAGTACAAAGAATAGCCGTTCACTTCATATATAACAGTTATGGACGAACCTCGGTAAATGAACTGTTAGTAAGAGCTAACTTACTTTCACTTTCAGAAAGAAACCGTATATCCCGATTAAAATATTTATATCAAATTATTAATGAACATTACAAGATAGATATTGGAAAACTTATTTCATTTACTTCAGGTTAAGCCACCAGACAACGCCATGATTGTACAATAACTCCCTTTCGTAGCCGCCATAACTGCTTCAAATATTCTTTTTTCCCCAGAACTGTGCAGGATTGGAATAGTTTAAATAACCATCAAGTCACAACACAGTCTTTAACATCCTTTGCCGCTGGTCTGGAACAACAGAGAAAATAATTTTACTTGAGTGCTAGTTCTGTTTTCTTTTCTTAGAATGGGAGTGATGTGTCATCGGTAAAATTTTGTTACGTTTGTTTACGTTGTAAAACGCAAGTGATAGTTATTTGTTTGCTTTGTGTTATGTGACTGCCTACTATGTGAAATGTGATAGGCTGTTCTATCTGTTTGCCTGGTGTTATATGCTGATGTTTACGTCTTTTGTACCCACCTGCTAAAATCCCTCCAGGGGATTGCAGTACCATAAATTAAATAAATAAATAAATAAATAAATAAATACCCACGTACATTGTCTGCATGATTTAGTCAAATTTGAGAAAGAAAGAAAGAACGATAGATAGATAGATAGATAGATAGATAGATAGATAGATAGATAGAATAGATAGTAGATAGATAGATAGATAGATAGATAGATAGATAGATAGATAGATAGATAGATAGATAGATAGATAGATAGATAGATAGATAGATAGATAGATAGATAGATAGATAGATAGATAGATAGATAGATAGATAGATAGATAGATAGATAGATAGATAGAGATAGATAGATGATAGATAGATAGATAGATAGATAGATAGATAGATAGAAACAGTAGTCTTGCATCTGCCCGCTTGAAGAAGTGGTAGTCAATAAAATGTAGGAGCATCTTACCATTGTACAATCCAATACTCGCCCGGTGAAGCACACGCTGGCTCAGCCAGTTAATTCGATGTGACAAAACAAGTACGAACTTGTGCGTTACCGCACGGGTTTATATTGGGTTTAAGCGTTACCGTTTTTTTTTTCTTTTTTCTTTCTTTTTTTTCTTTTTTTGTGTTTTTTGATACGCCAGTTGCAGTCGTTAATGTGTCTAGCATCCGAATCGGCTGAAACTTTTTTTTGCGAAAAATTTTCGCGTAGGACAGTTTTGTGAATACGGGAACATTTGTTAAATATTTCCGCACTTTTAATCCACTGCGTCAAATTTACCTTATTTTTGTTATTTTTCAATAAAAACCATGAATTGTGCAGTGTAAACAAAAAAAGGTTTTTACTATTTTCTGGGTCCTAATTCAGTAAAATATAGTGTGTCGCACGAGAATTGTTCTTCAGAGAGGAAATAAGCCAGCGCAAGTGCAAGGCACATTATGAAAGAACATGGCCAGCCAACGTGAAAGACCACTTGCGAACACAAAGATTTATGAATTTAGTTCGGAGCCCAGAGCAAATCACAATTCATTGTCAATTTATTCTAAGGAAAAAAAGAGGGGAAAAATGTTTTGCCTAGGCATTACATACAAATAATCTGTATATTCATTTTTCGTTGTGTAAATAGTTAACATTTACTGGGGAATGAATTGAATTTTCGGATCAATGTGAAACGGGGCACTATGCTAATCCCTGAATCAAGCAGGGCAACAGCTTTAGTTGTAAACAGTGGCGCCGAAATTCTCCTTACGGTTATAGTTAACCAGCGTAGGCCTAAACGCACAAACAAAAGCGCCATTATAATAAATGACTTGAAGAAGCTTCAGATTTTTTTCAATTCACTGCTATTAGTTTTTCATAGCAAGTGCTCATACTACGAGCGTCGACGGAACCTTTAGACATCTTCTGCGTATGTGACGGTAGCAAAGCACAGTGTTGTTCCAAATTCTCGTATTGTACTTACTCGTTGAATGTCGACCTAATTTATAGCAGTAGTGTTTGATATAATCAAATTATTGTAGCGATTGCCAGCAAACGTAACACCAAATTTTGCCGTTCAATTTTTGCAGCCTCACATATCTGACCACCTCGTTGTGAAGGTTATAGACAATTTTCAGGTAAGTTAATTGCTCTCACGAGAGAAAGAAAAAAAAGAATAAAAAAATCACTCATTGGCTATCTATAGGATATGTAGTTCACGTGTGGAAACCACCTGCTCGTTACAAAATTTATATATTGTGACCCCTGGTGTAGCTGGCGGACGACATGGCCGCCAAAGTAGGCTTTTGTTGCGTGCTTATAACAACAAAGCTGTGAAACTTACTTAAATTTCACCAGGGGGATGTCCGGGCGATTTGGTAATTCATAAGCACGTTTAAATATTGCGATCCAGAGGTCCACCTAGATTCCACCCACCTTCCCCCCCCCCCTTACACACACTCCTCCTCCTCCTCTAAATACACTCGTTCGCAGCGAAAGTTTACTGTAACCAGCGCAGCGTAGTTTCAGTCATTTTCGCGCTATACTTAACATTGACCTAAACAAAACACTGAGAGAAAGAATGGAGTGTGTGGGCTTGTGTGTGTGTGTGTGTGTGTGTGTGTGTGTGTGTGTGTGTGTGTGTGTGTGTGTGTGTGTGTGTGTGTGTGTGTGTGTGTGTGTGTGTGTGTGTGTGTGTGTGTGTGTGCGTGCGTGCGTGCGTGCGTGCGTGCGTGCGTGAGTGTGTGTTTGTTTGTGAGAGGAGAGAGAGATTGATTTGTAAATGTGCAGGAACGGGTCTCTCGATCTATTCCCATTGTTGCTCACTTCATATGATTCGCTATATTCGTTCCTCATACACGACCCGCTCAATAGCAAGCTCGACATGGGTCGTCATGTCATGCCCAAGTACTACGAATTGCCAAAGTACCATTAGAATTGGTCGACTAACCAGCTTATTTTACAGATCTGCTTGGAGAAAGGACCGATAGCTGTCCCGTCACACAGTGATGAGAACAACGACAGGCACAACAGCGAATACGATCAAGCACGCAGCGATGAACGCGACTATGGACCCGACGATTATGAGTCCAATTCACGAATCTATTACCCCAGACGCGAGCACGGCCTCGGAAATGAAAGCGCCACTGTAAGTCCAGCATTGCACCGGCCCAGCACACAGCCTGCAAATATTGGACATGCATGAGTCTACGAAAAGCTCGCGCAGAGCTGAACAGCACTTTTGTGACCAGCTTAGAGGGCGTCATAATTCTGCCCTGTGTGTGTTCGTGCGCTCGAGGAGAACAATAAAATGCAATCACTACTTCGTGAACGCTCCACTTTAAGGTGAAATTTCGCATTCTGCTCATGTTCAGTTTGTTGCAGCACGTGGAGCTGTTTTTGTGGAAAGTTCGGAAGTTGCAAAAGCAAACGACTTCTAATATCAAAAATGTTATACACTCAACGACGAAGAGCACGCAGAACCCGAACGCTATTTCGCCACTTTGTGTGCAATTCCAGTGTCCGCTTACTCTTAGTGCGCTATAAGACAGAAGAGAATTCCGATGTGAGCGTTTTCGACTGTTACGGGTACTAAACCATAGGAAGCGGCCCGGATACAAGCGTTTCCTCGAGAAAGCCTCGTGCTTTTAGTTTTAGTAGCCAAGCCCTTTGGATCGATCAAAATTTTTATTGAAACAAAAGTAAACAAATTAGTGGATGTTTGCTGGCAATGGCTTCATAAATTCTCATTTTAACGAGGTCCGCCAATGCATGCTGCACACGAGTAAACGAGACACGAGAGCGATATGGTCGAGTCAGTACTCCTCGCAAATACCAGCACCTTCAAACAAGTGTTGAAATTACTTCATTGATTTGTGACGTTGAACTCTTATGTTCGTGAGTGAAGCGACCATATTCTACCCACTCCAAAGCTGGACGGGGGGGGGGGGGGGGGAAGCTGGGGGGTTGATGCGGAATGACGGAAGGAAGCATATATCACACAGCCTGAAACACGTTGTTGGGCTAGTGGATGCATGATCTGACAAAAAATTGGAGGTACAAAGGAATCAGTGGCATAAATCATAAAAGTGTCAGCGGGGTCCTGCCCCCTCCCCCCGGCCCTGCTGCGAGGGACACCTATTCAACATTGTCCCTCTTTAGATTTACCTTTCAGATATTGCATTTCAATTGGCTGATAGTTTTTAAAACAACTCTAAAACCTGAAGCCCTTTTAATGAGCAGAAACTATGTACAATAGTAGAAACTGTTTTTGGTTTCAAAAAACACTGTATATGTCGTGCTTTGTCAAATGCTATAGTAAAACTATATTTGCTTTCAAGAAACACTGTAGAGGTCGTACTTTGTCAAATGCTATAGTATACGGGTGACTTCTGACATGCAACAAATGTTTATTATGCTGGTACTCGAAGCTCAAAGCAAATATTCCCTTATCATATGTTGCTCTGTATTTATGTAGATCATTTCGTGGAAGCCATTGACAATGTAGTACTACATTACGTATGAATATTCATTGATTGATAAGTGGGGTTCAACATCCCAAAACCACTATATGATTATGAGAGACGTCATTGTAGTATGAGTGTTATTGCTCGAACATAACGCGTTATTAAATAAACAGCTTCAGTGCAAGGGCGAAACAATGTATGACATAGCAACAAATTTCAATTTCATACCAAGTAAGGCTGACTGCCAGCTGTTTTGGAAACGTGAGATGCGTAACTCTACACAACGTTGGTGTAGGAGAATACGGCTGCTTCGGGGAGAGAAGCGGTTTGCGTCCAGTCTCTTTGCCTTTAGAACACAGAACGTGGGGGTATATACGAGCCATCTGCTGGCGCCTACCAAGATAACACGTGCGCCAGCGATCGTGACCGCGTCAGAGTTCACAGTGGCTGCTCGAGCGACACAGCCACCCAACCCTTTCTCGACGTCCATTCATGCATTTTCAAGACACGCGATCACATTAAAATCAGTGGTGAATATAAACACAAGAAATACTCCAAGGTTATATCGTTGGAGCTTAATAGTATACACAATTGGAGCTGATGTTAGATAAAAGTTGTTCATTCAATGGCCTACACCGAATGACATATTGGCTAGAAATATGCTAGAGCCTCATGCGTAGGAGTTACACTTAGAAATCTAACTTTGGCAACTATTGGCTGCTCTGGCCTGTGCTCATTTTCTTTTAAATTTATTTGAAAACAAGATTTTATTCTTAGGCAATTACAAAATAAAACGCATGTTTATCAAAAGAAACGACAACCATGACGTCAAAACGTGTGTCTCCCTTTGATACATTCCTGTCTTTGGGTCACTGAAAAAACCTTGACAAGATATGACAGGACTGAAGTTAGTTGGCACCAGTTCATTCATCATGTTCTACTCATTACTCGCGCACCCAGGCACAAACCGCGCCGCAGCCAATCAGAGAGTAGCGGTACAGCGCCATCTAGAATATCCTCACTCAACTGCAGTTTGTATGTACTTCTATGAGACAGCGCCATCAATTATGGCTGTCCGGGAGATACTGCCTTCTTTTTTTTCTCGTCTCTTCTCTCAGTTACGCCTGACGCAGGACAAGGTTAGACTAAGAAAATATTCACGCCTAAAAAAGGTGCGACCCGTTGTGCGCCCAAAAAACAACGGCGGCTGGCTAGTTGAACTCATTGCCGCTCGCGAAGGTGATTTTAAGAACGCACGAAGGTCTCTGTGTTGAGGGCTTTCTTGGGGAGCCTGAAACTCTTGGCAAATGTTATTTGGCATAATGTGATCAACACTCCTCTGAATGCACAATCTTATTCTGAAACATCGATATGTAATTATCAAAAGGACTTTGAACGCCATTCACCGAAATAGATGGCACCCGATCTTGAGGTCCTGTAATGTTATTCAAAGACAGTTTGCGGGGCACACAACAGTGTCGATAGTGTGCCATGTCATTTCTAACGAATCACCGCCGTGGTCACGCCCCAGCGCCTGGCAGGGCTACCCGTTCTGCCATGGCACAGCAACTCGCACACCATCGAAACTTTCGGCTTAAGGGATCTTCATATGCGAGAGCTCGCCACATAGGTCCACAACCGTTATAAATCCATCTCAGCTCTTTATGATCGCATTTTTTTTTGGGGGGGGGGGGAGGAGGGGCTTCATAGAGAAAGCTGGTATACATTGGGAGTTGACCGCAATTCGACAGCACAGATTTAGTGACAGGGAAACAGCCTGGATATCAGCAGCGAATCCGATGTAGATTGTCGTAGTTTGTGCGGTCTTGCGAAAATTTTTACAGGTTGGTATGCGCCACAGTAATAGATCTTTCGCTGTTTGCAAACAGTGTGACATCACTGCGAGCACCCCGCCCATTATCCCCTTCCTCGGAGTAGGTGCTGCATGGTTGGCGCTCGTCGTAGTTTGTGCGGTCTTGCATAAAACTCTACAGGCTGGTATGCGCCAAAGTAATAGACCTCTCGCTGTTTGCAAACAGTGTGACATCACCATCCCCTTCCTCGGAGCATGTGCTGCATGGTTGGAAAGTTCAACCGGTGGGATCTCTCTGCTTAGCAGCGCTGAGTGTGTCTGCATTCCTTCGACAGCAGTTACTGCGAATTGTTTTTTTTCTAAAGTCACAGCTTTTAAAAGAAAGGGTCACTATCTATATTCAACGATTCTGTTAGGTTACCATGTGGCGATTGGCTCGTCGTAGATGGCTGCCATCAAAAAAATCTTATCCCCTTCGAAAGCGAACATTCTGCATAATCGCGGTGGCTGACACTTTGAGAAATATTTACATGGTGTGGATGTGAACGTACTCAATTTACGTCGTGACATGTGCACTGCAGTTTTTACGAGGTACAGTCTTTGCGCCAGCGTGGTTTGGAGCTGCTAGAGAGGAGAAAGCTTGAACTAAATGTCAGCGAGCGTTGTCATTTGAAAGAACACGGCTCCCATGTTTGATATATCGGCCATTATTTCTACAGGGCAAATGACACCATGTTCCGAGAGGCATATCGATACCGATCGACAAAACGACTATATATAGCCTATAGACACCAATCCTGAAATATAAAGTTTTTGTTGCGCGGTATTGTGTCAACGCAGGGTGACCACATGTGTATATTACCCGTACAAAGCATTATTATTTAATCAATGGGCGAGAAAGTAATGCGAGCTTCATTTAGCAAGGTCACTAACAGTTACACAGTCATAATATAAACATGGGACGTGGACTGTCGTGTGCGGACCACACGCAAGAGGTCGGTGGGCCACGCTCTCGAGACTCCTACAACGGCCACTCGATCTCTCGGATCGAGCGGCCGTGCCCCTGCTTTACTGGGTTTGCGTATTCGTCGTGGCGAAGCGTATATGCAACTTCAGCAATACTAAAACGTGCTAATAGCTCTTGTGTATAGTCATACCTTTCAGCCCGGAGACCATGCTTTTTTTTCTGCAGGCAGAGCAAGATGTACGCAGTCGCAGATGATCACGTCTAATGCATTTTTACCTTGACTAAAATGTCGAATCGCGATGTTCCGTCGACAACCGATCATTGCCACCGGCCCATAAAGAGCACCAATGTTTTCACGAACAAGGTGCATCGTTTTTCCCTCAACATGTTCCACACACAATATTCTCAGTTTCACCGACCATAAAGGTGGACCAATATTACCGATGCCTTTCAATGCACGCTACACGCCACAATAAACACTTCACATTTTGGAAGACTATGCTGCTGTTCCTTGCACACACAGGTGGTCGAAATTTGATAGATATGTGGAGTTTAACGTCCCAAAACCACCATATGATTATGAGAGACGCCGCAGTGGAGGGCTCCGGATATTTTGACCACCTGGGGTTTCTTTAACGTGCACCCAAATCTGAGCACACGGGCCTACAACATTTCTGCCTCCATCGGAAATGCAGCCGCCGCAGCCGGGATTCCGGAGACTCCACGACGGCGTCTCTCATAATCATATGGTGGTTCTGGGACGTTAAACCCCACATATCATGTTCCTCGAACAATCCGCTACGTGTGTTCCCTTTTTCAAAATAAACAGACAAACAGCGTGGCAAGCTTTTCATCACGCATGCAGTTGAACACACACCTATATGCTCTCTGACACATACCTCAGCTAATCTCGTAACAGTAAGATGAAGATAAAGCTTACAAAAAAAGAAAAACCTTGCCCCAAGCCCCACGCGTGAGTCACCAGCGTCGATGTTTTGCGAACCCCCGCCTTGCACGTGCGCCGGTGACATCACTATGTGACGTACCCCAGTAGAGGTTTATTGGACAAAACCCCCCATCGAGTACAGTAGATGCGACCG